TGGCGCGGGCCCGCCCCACCCGTGGCCCCGCCCCCTGCCTGCCCACACATGCCAGTGCCCTTTCATCCCTAGGACCCAACTGGAATGCGGGTGGGGCTGGTGTGGGCGGAGGCTGGACTGGGCGGGGAGTCCCCGAGCTCAAGCCACCCTGCTCCCCTCAGGTTCCCTGAGGAAGACCCGTGCTGGGGGGACAGCCATGAGTACCGCCTCTGCCAGCTGCCAGTAAGCTAGGTTCACCCCCCTCGCCCCCCCAGCCTGCCCTGCATCCCTCTCACTTCCCCGCAGATGCTCCACGTACGCCTTGCCATGCCTCCAGGTTCCCGGGGCTCCCTGGAGTTGACACACCTCTTTCTACCCCCAGGAATGTCCCCCAGGGGCCGTACCCTTCCGGGACATACAGTGTGCACTCTACAATGGCCGCCCTGTCCTGGGCACCCAGAAGACCTACCAATGGGTGCCCTTCCACGGGGGTGAGTAACCTAGCCTTTTGTCAGAGCTGGTTCAGGAGCAGAAAGGGAATTGGAGACTTGCACAGAGAATGGGGACATTGGCACTGGGGCTTTGAAGGCTATGTAGGAGCTGGTGAAGTAAAGCAAGAAGCAGTGACCGAAGGAAGCAGGGTCCATTCTGCAGAGGCCAAACACCAGCCTGAGGATTTACGCAGTGCTGTATCCAGAGGCCAACAGTTCTTAAACTTATCCCAGTAACAGGAAATGTCGCACTGAGCTGAAAATAGCGAGTTATATAACTGGGTGCCCGGGGCAGCACGCCTCCAGATTGAAGGGAGACTGGCAGCTTCAGACACCGTCGTGGAGACACATAGATAAGAAAAGCCTGGGATGGGGAAAAGTTCCACCCTTCAGCCTCCTGGGCTGGTTTTCTGCCTCTTCTTGCTTTTGCCCTGAGAATTGAAGGAACCTTGTGGAAATCCCACCCCTAACAAAGGCCAGCCTCTACCAGCTCCTGATCTGACTAGGCTGTCTGCCCGCCAGGCCCAGCTGGGTGGAGGGCCCAAGTTTGAAGCTCAGGCTGGCAACTGGGCTATGTGCCCGAGGGGGTAATCCGAGAGCCTATTTGGCTCAAGGGAAACTGAGGCCCAGGCGACATCATACTCCCTCAGTTCGGACAGACTTTTTACTGGGTCTGAATGGGATGGGTAACTGAAATGAAACGGATTGAGATCTGGGGCAAGGTCTGGAAAAAGAAGGTGGGAGGTGGGGATCTAGGGAGAGGCTGGGCCTGAGTAGGAAGGCCTGGAGGGTAGAGGGGGTGTGGTCTGATGGAGAGGGTGGGGCAGTTAGGTTAGAAAGAGGCCCTGACCTGAGTGGGAGGAGCAGGAGCTTGGTGCTGGGCCCAAGAACTGAGTTCTGCCTGGTGCTGGCAACGGTGTCTAGCAAACAGTAGGTGTGCGGAGTCAGTGTACAACACTGAAGGAAGGAAAGAAGGATGGCAAGGAGGGTAATTAATAATGGATAGCACCTTCAAGAGTGGACCTAGTCTAATCTGGAGTCCTTGCCTGGGAGAGGCCTCATTACTGGAGGCAGACCTGGCTGTGCTTCAGCCTCGAGGTATAACTTTGGCTGAACCTCTTAGTAGCTTTACTCCTCTCACCCTGCAGCGCCCAATCAGTGTGAGCTCAACTGCCTGGCCCAGGGGCATACTTTCTACCACAGCTTTGGCCGCGTCCTGGACGGTACCCCCTGCAGCCCAGGAGCCCAGGGTCTCTGCGTGGCTGGCCGCTGTCTGGTAAGGATGCGCCGGGCCCCTCCCCACCCCACCCCCTCCGTCCTGAGGTTCGAACTCGGGGCCCAGGCGCCGTCCCTCAGCTCTGCAGCTCCAGGCCAGCGCCCTACCACGTGAGCCACAGCGCCACTTCCGGTTTTGGAGTGGTTCCCGGGAGGTAAGAGGCCCAAGGGGACTTTCCTGCCCGGGCTGGCTTCGAACCACGATCCTCAGATCTCAGCCTCCGGAGTAGCTAGGATGACAGGCGTCAGCCACCGGCGCCTTTGAGCCCCCAGTCCCCGCCCTCTCCTCCCGCTCCCCGCCAGCCGCGTCTAAGCCGGTGAACCGCGTGTCCCTGACTCTAGAGTGCCGGCTGTGACGGGGTACTGGGCTCGGGCGCCCTCGAGGACCGATGCGGCCGCTGTGGCGGTGCCAATGACTCTTGCCTCTTCGTGCAGCGCGTGTTCCGTGACGCCGGTGACCGCCCCCCCCCCCCCCCCCCCCGCCCCCCCCCCCCCCGCCCCGCCCCGTCCCTCGCACCACCTCGGACGGACCCTTTAACCAGTCACGCCCCCTCCCCCTCCCCCAGAAGCGAAGGCCTAGGCTGATTGGGCAGCCTGAGGCCCAGCCCCTCGCGCCCGTCCTTCTGATTGGCTCCTTCGTAGGTCGTCCCACCCTCCCCGGAAGCGATAGGATTCCCACCCTTTCCCTGCCGCGCTGTAGCGCTCCTCGCAACGCCGGTCGCTCGCGCGGACCTAGTTAACTAGTTGCCTCCTCGACGTGTCTCAGTGAATCCTCACATCCCCGTTCAAACGCCCCCCCGCCCCCCGTGGGCACCCCCCATATTCTCCCGCGCAGGTGCCTTCGCGGGCTACTGGAACGTGACCCTGATCCCCGAGGGCGCCAGACACATCCGCGTGGCCCAGCGCAGCCGCAACCACCTGGGTACGGTGGAGGCCGGAGCGGGAGGCGGTTGTCCCCGGCCGCAGCTCGGGCAGGGGTGGGGAAACCGAGGCCGGGGCGGTGGGAACGGGGCGTGCGGGCGCCCAGAGGCCTTCCCTTGCAGCGCTGCTGACGGGCGACGGGCGCTACGTGCTCAACGGGCGCGGGGCGGTCAGCCCGCCCGGCACCTTCGAGGCCGCGGGCACCCGCGTGGTCTACATCCGGGCCCCGGGGCCCGAGGAGACGCTGCACGCCGCCGGCCCCACCTCCCAAGACCTGCTCCTGCAGGTGCGGGGCGGGGGGGGGGGGAAGGTCAGAGGTCAGCATCCGGGGACCGGAGGCTGGGTCCGCAGGAAGAGGATCTGAGCGGGAGGCGGGGTGAGGGGTGCAGGCTGGGGTCCCGCGGGGGACCCACGGGTCAGCCCCCGGCCCCCGCCCCTCCTCGCCAGGTCCTGCTGCAGGAGCCCAACCCCGGGGTGCACTTTGAGTTCTGGCTCCCTCGGGAGCGCTACGGCCCCTTCCAGGCGCAGGCGCAGACTCTGGGCTGGGCCCTGCGGCAGCCTCAGCCCCGGGAGGTGGAGCCCCCGTCCCCGGACCTCCCCCCCGCGGCCGTCCCCACGAGGGCCCGGACCCCGCCCCCAGGTGAGGTGCGGTGCACTGGGGTGGGGGCTGCGGGAGGGGTGATCCCCTCCCCTCACAGCACTGTCCCCCCCCCCCCCGACACCCGCGGTCGCGCCCACCGGCTGCTCCACTACTGCGGCAGCGACTTTGGTGAGACCCCGGCCCCGACCCTCACCCAGCCCTGAATAACTAGACCTGATGACCTCTGACCTCCTATGACCCCGTTGTGCCAGTCTTGGGGCTTAAACTCGGGGCCTAGGGATTGTCCCTGTGCTAGTGCTCTACCAATTGAGCAAGCGTTTCACTTCCAGCTTTTTGCTGGTTAATTGGAGATACCAGTCGCAAGGACTTAACTGCCCAGGCTGGCTTGGAACTGTGACCCTCAGATCTCAGCCTCCTGAAGAGCTGGGACTACTGGTGTCAGGCTCCTATTTAACTCCGCTGGTTGAGACTTCTAACCCATCATTGACCCTTGACCTGGCTCTGCTGACCCTCATCCTGGCCCTGCCCACAGTGTTCCAAGCCCGAGTTCTGAGCCGCCACCGCCAAGCCCAGGAAACCCAGTATGAAGTTCGAATCCTGCTGATTTATAAGAACCACTCACCACTACGGACTCGAGAGTATGTGTGGGCACCAGGCCACTGCCCCTGCCCACCACTGGCTCCCCACCGAGATTACCTGCTGGCTGTCAGGCGCCTCGTCAGCCCTGATGGCACACAAGACCGGCTGCTGCTGCCTTACGCTGGCTATGCCCGGCCTTGGAGCCCAGCTGAGGACAGCAGGGCTCGACTGGCCTCCCGCCGTTGTCCTCTCTGAACCCCTAGAGGATGCCTTCACTACACACAGCAAGAACAGCACACCTGACAGACCTCAAACTCAATGCAATTTGTCCTTTCTCCATGGCTCACCCTCACCCAGGAAATTTCCAATAGCTCCCATATGCAGCCGTGTGATTTCCCTGTCACACAGACACCTTTGCATGCAGTTGGATCCATTGTCACAAGCAGATAGGCCCTGGTGAGGATACACTAAGACTGAGCAGATGCGAACGCTTATTTCTCTTCTCATCTTGGCTGCCAGGAAGCTCATAGCTATTATTTACAGCCAGAAATGTTGTGTCTTTTAGTTTTCCTTGCCTGGCACTCAATTGCTTAGTCATGAATAAGCAGGTTCAAGAGAAAGACCTACCTAAAAAGACATTATAATGTACTTCTCCATCTTTTCCTGGCACCATGAAGCTCCTCACCCAGACATGTTGTGTGCTCATTTCTCTCTCTCTCTCACACACACATCCCCTTGTACATTCACAGACTGGCATACCCTTTAAGGAGACATGCTTACAAAGGCAACTGTAGTCTACTTATTTTCTCCTTTTGTCCTAGCTACCAGGAGGCTCACCTAATTTTGCGCTCTAGCTGAGTTTCCTTCAGCCAACAGACTGAGGTTTCTTTTTAATTACTTTTTCCAAAATATTGCACTTGTATATATTCATCCTCAGAAACTTGTCACCCTGGGGTCACAGGATGACCTTGTCACCTCTCCACCTCTCCCCTGCATGCCTCACCAGCGCCCAGGCAAGGACAAGAAATACAGAAGGATGGGGCAGGGGAAAGGGCTCTTTTAGCCTCTGAGCCCCACATCGCTCGCCTCCTGAGTCCTATCTTCTGGGAGCAGTAGATAGCTAGGGGAATGTCAGCCCCCCTCTGTGGGCTTCTGCTTTCTCCCCTTGCTGGGGACAATCTGCTCTATAGCAGCCCAGCTTGTGTGTGTGTGTGTGTGTGTTGGTACTAGAACTTGAACTCAGGGTCTCTCCCTTTCATTTAGCTTTTTTTTTGCTCAAGGCTGGTGCTTGGCCACTTGAACCACAGCTCCACTTCAAGGCCTTTTTTTTTGCTGGTTAACTAAAGTTAAGAAGGCTCATAGAAGGCTCATAGAATTTTCCTGCCTGGGCTGGCGTTGAACCTCAATCCTCAAATCTCAGCCTTCTGATTACAGGCGTGAGTCACCGGTGCCTGGGTTTTCCTGGGTCCCAGTGGCTCATCCTAACTATCACCTCTGCCCCATGGGGTCTTGCTGACTGCAGTTGCGCCCTTTAGAGGCCCCCTCTAGGGGCTGCTGGTGGGTAAAGGGCAGAGGGAGAGGAACAGGGCAGCCAACATAAAGGGAATTGGCTAAGGCCTAGCTCCTTCCCCTTCTAGGGGCCTCAGGCCTGTATGTCTCCTTTAAGCCCCTGGGGAGGTGGTCCTCTCCTGAGGTCCCTCCTTCGCCCCTCCATTCAGGCATTCCAGCAGTATTTATTGAGCACCTGCAGTGTGCCAAGGGCCCAGCAGTCTGTGCAGTAGCCCAGGCACTTTGGTGTGTCAGCTACAGGTGCTGCGGGCTAGGCCAATTCAGGAGGGATGTGTGGTGCCTTCGCACCCCCTAGTGGCAGAACGAGGGACAACCAGGGCTTCCGTTAAACCAGCTGTCCACATCCCCTAGGGGCCCTTGTGGTTACTTTTCTGGACCATTTCGTCCCCATTTACACCTCAGTTTCCATCCTCTTGGGTTCCCACAGCTGTCCCCTCTGCTTCTATGGGTTGGGATAAATCAGGGAATGGAGATTCCTCCGCCATTGATCCCCAAATGGCTACCTGGAACCAAATAGACGTATCCAGGGTCCACACACTCAGACCTCCAGTTGTGGCCTGCTGTTTGTGATGCAGAACAAGGCAGAAAAGCCAGGACGGGCTGGGAAAGACAAGGCAGCTGGCTGTGCCAGCAGGAGGCTGGCTGGCTGGCCTCTAACCGCTGTCATCTCAGAACCCAGACCCAAGCCAGGCACCAGTGGCTCGCCTGTAATCCCCGCTACTCTAGAAGCTGAGATCTGAGGACCTCACCGTTCAAAGCTAGCCCAGGCAGGAAGCTCTGTGAAACTCTGATCTCTAATTAACCACCAACAGCACCAAAGATGGAGCTGTGGCTCAAATGATGGAGTGAACAGTGCCCAGGTACTGAGTTCAAGCTCCAGGACTGACACAAACAGAAAACCAAAAAAATCAGAACCAGACTCAGAGGCAGAATGACTCCCTCTTGTGATTGTTCCCTGACCACTGGTAATAAAAGTCATTGTCTTGATTTGTTCTCTGGCTTTGGAACAATCTAATAAAGGGAAGGAAAATCCTTAGTACTGAAGCTACTGAAACCAACATAATTGGCAAGGAGACAGCATCCTTATCCAGCAAGAACAGGAAGATCTCTGTCATTAATTACATTATAAGCAATAATAAAAACTGCAGATGAGGGGCTGGGAAGGTGGCTCAGTGGTAGAGTGCTTGCCTTGCATGCTCAAGGCCCTGAGTTCCATACCTCAACACCACATGAGCAGAAAAAGCTGGAAGTGGCGCTATGGCTCCAGTGTTAGAGCACTAGTCTGGAGTTGAAGAGCTGAGGGACAGCACCCAGGCCCAGAGTTCAGGCCCCACGACTGACAAAAATAAAAACAAAAGCAAAACTAAAAACTGCAGATGACAATGCCATGTGCAGGTGCTCCATGACTATAACCTGGGCTACATAGGAAGCTGAGATCTGAGGATCAAGGTCCAGAGCCAGCCTGGGCAGGAATGTCTGTGAGACTCTTAGCTCCATTTAACCAATAAAAGCTGGAGGTGGAGCTGTGGCCCAAGTGGTAGTGTGTGGCCCTTGAGAGAGAAGGCTAAGGACAGCAGATCCTGAACTCAAGCCCCAGTTCTGGCACAGAAAAAATAAAAATAAAGTCAAGCCAGGCGCTGGTGACTCACGCCTGTAATCCTAGCTACTCAGGAGGCTGAGATCTGAGGATCACAGTTCGAAGCTAGCCCAGGCAGGAAAGTCTATGAGCCTCTGATCTCCAATTAACCACCAGAAAACTGGAAGTGGCACTGTGGCTCAAAGTGATAGAGCACTAGCCTTGAACAAAAGAGCCCAGGGACAGTGCCCAGGCCTTTAGTTCAAGCCCCATGACCACCACCACCACCAACAAAAATAGTCAAATAATGAATATGGTGAGCTTGTGACTTATTTGTGTGAAACAGAAGGAAGAGTATAGCAATTATTCCATTACCCCCAGGATATTTCCAGCGAAGGAGCTATAGACACTGACCCTAGCAAAACATTCAAGAAACCTCATCTCAATGAATCAGAAGCTGGGCACAGTTATAGATGCCTGTCATCCCAGATACACAAGACACAGAGATACAGATGTCATGGTTCAGGCCAGCCTGGGTGAACATCTGAGACTAAAATATAGCTAAAGCATAAAGGGCTGAGAGGATGGGTCATTGGTAGACACCAGCCTGACAATCACCGACCACCACCGCCAATTTCTTTTTTCCCTGAGGAAGATTTTATTAGTAATATTGCAAAATTCAAGCAGATGTCAATGGTAAGCACATGGGATTTATACATGTGAGATAGATAGATAGATAGATAGATAGATAGATAGATAGATAGATAGATAGATAGATAGATAGATAGGTAGATAGATAGATAGATAGATAGATAGGTAGATAGATAGATAGATAGATAGATAGATAGATAGGTAGATAGATAGGTAGATAGATAGATAGATAGATAGATAGATAGATAGATAGATAGA